TATCGGTATGGTGGGGGTGAAGGAGTTATTTTGTGCTTATATGTTGATGACATACTAATCTTTGGATCTAGCCTCAAAGTGATTGAGGAGGTGAAGGAATTTTTATCTAATAATTTTGAAATGAAATATTTGGGAGAGGCTGATGTTATTCTTAATATCAAGCTTCTGAGAGAAGGTGATAGTGGGGTAACTTTGTTACAATCCCACTATGTGGAAAAGGTGCTGAGTCGCTTTGGGTTTAGTGACTGTGAACCTGCTACTACACCCTATGACCCGAGTGTGCTATTGAGGAAAAATCAGAGAATAGCAAGGGATCAGTTGAGATATTCCCAGATCATTGGTTCGCTCATGTATCTTGCTAGTGCAACAAGGCCTGATATCTCATTTGCTGTGTGCAAGCTGAGCTGGTTTGTGTCAAACCAGGGAGATGATCACTGGCGTGCTCTTGAGAGAGTGATGCGCTATCTAAAAGGCACTATGAGCTATGGTATTCGTTATACTGGACACCCGAAGGTGCTAGAAGGCTATTGTGATGCCAACTAGATCTCCGATGCTGATGAGCTTTACGCCACAAGTGGATATGTGTGTTTCGCTTGGAGGTGGTGCTATTTCCTAGAAGTCTTGCAAGCAGACTATCTTAACGAAGTCTATAATGGAAGCAGAACTCACAGCATTAGACACTGCTGGCTCTGAGGTCAAGTGGCTTCGTAATCTCCTTATGGATTTACCGGTTGTTGAAAACCTATACCGGCTATTTCTATGAACTGCGATAACCAGACTGTGATCATAAAGGTTAACAGTTCTAAGGATAACATGAAGTCTACAAGACATATTAAGAGACGACTAAAATCTGTTAGAAAATTGAGAAACTCCGGAGTAATAGCGTTGGACTATGTTCATACGTCTAACAATCTGGCAGATCAGTTCACTAAGGGTCTGTCACACAATGTGATAGAAAGTGCATAGAGAGAGATGGGTTTAAGACCCACATAAAATTTACTATAGTGGTAACCTATTCTATGTGATTGGAGATCCCGTGAAGTAGGATGGTAAAACAAGCTAGTAGTAAATTGTGAGAAAAGATCCTTAGTAAGACTCATTTCTGATGCATATCTTTCCTTTCTATAAGGCACATTGGTTTTTACCTTAATGTGTTCCAAGTGGCTCGGTAAAGCAAAGATGTTGTCCTATAGAACATCTTTTGAGGAACACACCTATATGAGTCAGACTGTTGGTCATAGTCTATGAGATTTGGGTGATCTCTAAATACTCATGAAAGGCACTGGAGTATGACTTATATGCATCAAATAGAGGGGATGTCTTTTGCAGCCTAGTATCAGCTAAGGACTTTAGTGACATTCACCTCACACAAAACTGTCAATTCAAGGCTTAGTCCATTGTTCAGTTGTGACTGAGTGAAACTATTGCTCTAGATGGATGTTCAACTTAATAGTCTCCATCGAAACACTGGTATATAAAAGAAATGTGGTTCTGAGACTACTTTGTTACAAACACTAGAGTTTGATGGGGATTGTTGGATATATTATGGGCTTGGCTCGTATAATATTTAATAAATCAAATAAACTCTATGGTTGGTAACGTTAAGCGCTGTATGGTTTAATACCGTACGGGATTTTGCCTGAACGTTTACTTAGCTTATTTGGTTGAAAATTATCCATCTTGATTGAGAAGCTGAGAAAAGGACACAGGAGTGCCACACGCGCGCGCGCCGCCGGCTGGGCCGGGCCGGGCCGTGGGCTTGGGCGTGGGCGCGGGCGTGGCGAGGCAAAATCCACATAATCACGGGAGTTTCTCTCCTTTATGGTGGAGGCAAACTGATTGCATTAGTTATCGTCTCTTCATGTCTCCGTCTCCTGGGTTCCTCTGCTGCCTTTCTCCCTCCCCGCTGCAGCTATAAATCTAAAGTCCTCCGTCAGTCCAGATCTTCCCCTTAGCTTCCGAGGGACCACATCTCAACCACCCTTTGGCTTTCCCCGTCCCGTACCTCTGTGCGCACGGAGTAGCGAGAGAGCAGGTGCCTTCGGAACCCTCGTCTGCCTGCGAACCTTGCACGGGGTGTGAGGCAATTAGGTTTTTGGGGAGCGATTCCACGACTGCTCGTCTGACGTCTTCTTCCTAGTGATCGCTCATGGAACCCGTCTTCTTCCTAGTGACCGTTCGTGGGACTGCACTGCGAACACCTTCCTACATCGACTGTGGTCCACGACTTTGAGCAACGCACTATGTCGACTAGTGTGAATGGAGCCTCCGATGCCCTTGGCATGGGACCCTCTGCTGGGTACAATCTTAACTCTATGATTACCGCACTTTGCGTTCTTATTGTATTGATCTGTAAGTCATACTTGCATGCTGTAGCGTTTGTTAGTGATATACACATGCACATATATGTCGTCACAAACGTGCTGATGTTTTATTTCTGGATTAAATTGACCATGAAAATGCCTAATTATCTAACACGTTGATCCGTTCATTTCACTGAAGCTCCATCTCTCAGCATCGATGGCTAGTAGCAGCGGGACACAGAGTGAGGCTGCAAGCTCGAGCAACAAACGCAGTAGTGGGGCCGCAAGTTGACGGGCGTGGCAGGAGGCTGCGAGCTCGAGCGGCAAGCATGGGGCGGTAGCCTGGGTGATGATGTGGTTGACCTCCCGCACGGCCGGCGAGCGGGCGACGATGAGCTCGAACTCCAGCATGACCGGCGCATCAAGTTCTTTTTTGTAGTTTTCTTCTACCTCTACGTCGTGCTTAATGTGATGAGCTCGCTCGAGGGACTTGCGCCCTGTTCGTTTGGGCTTGTTTGGCTGATAAGCCATGTCTAAAAGTACTGTTGGCTGATTTAGTGTGAGAAAAATATTGTTCGTTGGCTGAAAAAGTACGGCTTATAAGCCAAACAAGCCAAAACGAACAGGGCGTTGATTGTTCTCAATCTAGTGCAAAGGAAAAGAAACAAGAGGTCTGCGTGGATGTTAGATTTCCTCCGTTTTCCCTCTAGAACAGCTTTCATAGGAAGATGCTCTGTTTTTTCTGTGGTCATTTCCTGCAATCCAAAGGAGTGAACAATGGCCAAATCCTCAGGATCCCAAATCCTACGTTTTTCCTATGTTTCTCCTTCGATCAAAAGGAGCCCTTAATGAAATTAACTTTTAGCACTAAATCCTAGCTCATAACATGGATAGTCCCATATGATACTCTCACATAATCTTGGAATATATGCATAAGTCTAGCTCTTAATTATGAGATGGTTTTTTCTCTCTCTTCTATTAAAATGTGTCTTAATATGTCAAGAGCTATTTCATAAATAACCATTGAAGCTACACTTAGTATGATACGGAAGGAGTATACTGACCAATGATCTTGTTTATTAATCGTACATATGTGTGGGGGTACGACCCCGGATACCCATGGTAGACCACATGGGATGCACCCCAGGGGTGGCCCAGCCCACAAGATGAAGCCTTACGGAGCACGGCGCTGCTCGACGCTTCCCGCAAGACACCGGAAAGATATCCTGAAGATACTATGAGATCTATTCGGATCCGTATGATTCCATGATTCCTATAATCTATTATTACTTTTCGGTTATCTTCCAGATCTAACCGACTTGTAACCCTGGCCCTAGACTATATAAGGCGGGCAGGGACCCCTCTAAACACACGCAATATCATACGAGAGCCAATACAATCCAACAGACACAGGAGTAGGGTATTACGTCGTGCTGATGACCCAAACCTATCTAACTCTTGTGTCTCTGTTGTCTTCTTGTTCTCGATTACACGCATCTCTGGCGATCAATCTACCTTCGTGGGATACCCCTCGAAAGACTGCCGACGATATTCTGTCGAAAATATGGATACACAACCTGCCATATATTGTGTCCGTTCCAAATTATAAATCGCTTTGACATTCTTGATACATTAATTTTATTATATATCTAGCTATAGCGTATGTCTAGACACATATAACAAAACTGATGAGAAAAAAATAAACAAATGACTTATTATTTAGAACGGAGGAAGTAGTACTTTAGACCTATGCATATTTTCATTTACGACCTCGAGATGCCTCATTAGGATAGTTCAAAACAAAGCTCACTAGTCCATCACGCGCGCCTTTACGCGCGCCGGCAATTAAACTAAAATCAAACCGCGCGTCGGCGATTAAACAGAAATCAAACCGTGCAGGTAACGACATTTATACCTTATTGTTGAGATCTCAATACAGGCATAGTAAGTACCAGGAAATGCAGTGCAGAGGTAGCAAGTCTACTTATATTACATAGATGGATGCCATTAAGACAGCAATGTTTCAAGGTGGCAGCATAGGGTAGTGTTCTAGAGACACTACAGCAGTGCATGCCATATGTCCATAGACAGAGTTTATAGTTTGCCATATAGCTTGCCATAGTGCAGGTAGCAGCAGGTAGGGGGCCTAGTTCCATAACATTAGATAGTCGGATCCTAAACTATACAAGAAGCCTGACGATGAACTCCAAAAGCGGACAGATTAGGCATACAAAAGACGGCCTTGTGTGCCGATATAGCAACCTAGGCACCAAAGGTTCGAACTGCCCTTGTAATCACCAATGTACATAGTGTTGAAGATGAGCATGGTTGTAGGCGCTACGGCGATTATGCAAAAGGCGATGCACCAACGGGCTGTCCCAAACTGCACAAAACAGCAAATAGGTTGAGCTGACGACAACAGCGTCAAAGAAGGTGCCTTTCTAAAATTATGGCAGTATGTATTTAAAAACCTGTTTCACTTTTTCTAATTCCCCGAAGAGGATTTGCGTCCAGCAGACTTGCCATGAGGCTTAGTATCCTGAGCTCTTGGCCTGGAAGAAGAGCATAATTATCATTGCTGAGAAGTTGCACAGAAGGACTATATCCTCATGTTCTAACTCATCAGTATAAACAGTCTGGCAAACTATGTGAATTTTTTATCCATAATTAGTGTTGAATACCTTTTTGCCCAGCTGTCTAGGGGTCCTCAGAATGTTGCTCCTCTGTATTCTTATCATGTCCGGTCATGTGGATGTCGATGTTGAGTTGCTGAGAACTCTGATGAGCAGATTGAACGAAGGTCCTTTGATCCTATAGGAAAAGGATGTCATCGATAGAGGTTGTTGAGCATAGTTAACAGGAAGTTTGTATTCACATTTCTCATGTGTGAGAATGCAACTCTAGCATTAGCATTGGCGTATAAACTTTAGGGAAAAAGATATGATTTGTGAATAGAAAGAGGACATACCTCCTCATGAGTAGATTGCTCGTCAAACAGTTTTCTTTGTGCACTTTTGTTTTCAACATGGGTCGATGACTTTGTCGGGCTGACAAACATAGCAAGCATATAGGATCGTATCAGAACACGATGTCACCATGACCTTGGATGAGTTAGTAAACTCTATATACACAATTTCTGATATGAGACACATACTCAGCAACACCACATGAAGCAGGGGTATGAACAAGTTGAAGTTCCACCAAGAGCTGCACAGGTAAGGAAATCAGAAGATATCACAGTGTCTGTAAATGATAATTCTAGATTTGAACAGAAAGTTGATGGAGCAAAAGTAATTAGGGCCGACAATGTCATTATATGCGGTCAGGAGATCACCTTGGTAGACAAGTCCTGGCCATTTAAATTTTTAGCCGTGGATGGTATAGTTTCTCCATCAGATGGTAATGTAGTTGGTTTTGTTGGAATAGGAGACTCAGCAGGTGGCGCAATTATCATCAAGGAAGATGCACTGGGTGTACTGGGCGCAGTGGTTGTAGCTGGCATGACCATCAAGGGTTTTGGTGGAGGAGGAATCTTGCTGGATCCTTCAATTGCTAGTGACCTTGGAGTCGATGGACATTTCTAGAAATCTTCCATAACATACTTGACCTGGTATTCCCTTGTATTCTTTGAATAGTAAGATTCGCTCGTTAGGCCTACAACAAATGTATACTTGTTTTCGACAATAGCCGCTAGAGCAGGAGGTGCGCCACTCATTCTATTAGGAAGTTGAAACAGAGACTCGCAGCTTTTGTTAACGATCTGCTGAGCAATACCGTCAAAGCAAAAGAACCGACCCTCTGCAGTTGTATCTGTAGCAGCGAAGGTCAATTTGTACCTGCAAAACGGGGAATGAAAATGAATGGTGAAGAGTGCAACTCAACCTTAGGAATAAACAGCGGCGTAGTGTGTATGAAGAGCTAAGAAAGTAGGGTTACCTTGGCATAAAATCTGAGGATTTGCAACCACCGCACCAAGGCGCACCTCCGACCTAATCAGGACTTGATTTTTTTGCATCCTCGGTAGCCTAGATACCACCATGAATCATCATTTGGCACACCCGTAATTGTGACTGTGCAATGAAAGCTTTATTGCTGTGGAAACAAAGAGGCCAAAAGTATATATACTTTAACATGCATTGACTTGGATTAGTAATCCAATGCTCTATGGTTTATAGGACATACAGGGAACTCATAGGGATCAACTGCATTTAACTCATCAAGTGACTTGTGCTCTATGACAATTTCTTCGTCCTCTTGCAGCTGCGTTAGTGATGAAGGAGGCAAATCTATTGGGAAGTGCTGGAACCTACAATTTCAGGAAAGTGTCAATAATAAAATTTACGTACAATATATAAGGAAGGATGCAAATTACCGTGTAGAAGCACGACACTCACTTGTTATAATATGATTGGGCCTCTGGTATGGGAGGATTTAGATACCAGTGGCAGGTGTTGTTTCCGGTAACATGTGATACCCCTATAATTTTTTTATGTCTCAGCTATGGGTCTACGCAGCATAAATTCGATGCCAAATAAAATGGAGATGGTAAGAAAATTTACTCTAGAACTCTTTGGGGACGCAACCTACAAATAAACAGACAATTGCCCTTGGATTACTGTCATTGTAGATAGAATCAAGGCTGGATGTTGTGCTTCGCAATCCCCATAATGTGACCCTAAGCTCGTTGTCTCTGGAAATTGATGAACACAAAACAAAGAACATGCAGTGAAGGGTGGGAAAGTTAAAGGCGAATGTGCAATATGATTGCAGAGCACTTACTTTAAGTCTTCAATAATTATGTCCCGGGTCAGAGTCGATGTTGTCTGTCCTGGTAAACACGTTGGGACTGCAAGATGCACTTTCATGACAACACCAACAACATCTGTGCATAGCATATATAACATTAGGAACTGCCGCATTTAGGCTAGAGTGTCTGATCTACGAAGGAGCTTACCAATAAAATTCGGGTGCTCTCTTACATGCTGATGTATTTCATTGAAAGGGACAACTGTATAAACAAACTGTGGGAACATGTATGACCGGATATCTTCCAGTACCACTCTAGTGTAGCAAGTGAATTCAATCATGCTATTTCCACAAACAGGCATGTATGAATACTTAGCATTTTTAATCCTGAACCTGCTAATGGTGTACACGTTGCCAGCCTCTATGAGAGGGTTTTTTTCCTGCACTTCATCTCTTGGAATTTTAGCGTACATAACACCTCCCTGCAATGATTTTGTACAAGAAAAGGCAGATTACATGGAGCAAAAGGAAATCTAGGTACATAAAGCTTTGAAGTGACTAAGGGCATAAGCAAATACAGTGTATGGAAAATCTAGACGTAAATAGAAAATGTTATAAACCCACACCTCTTTATCAGCGAGAATGAGGTCAACATGCAGGATACGGCCATTCTCATTCCTACCAGTGAAATTCCACTTTCTGATAACTCGAACACAGACAGAAGCCTGGATGTCTCTTGGCTTTAGATTTGCTAAGAGAGTGGGGGCAGGTGTATGAGCCATATCATGCACCTGTAAAAACAGGAAGAAGATGAATCTCTGACATGACAAAACTAGAAAACTGTGGTGAACACATTAAGTTAATAAGGTGCAAATAAATGTGTAAGGAATGACAGTAATTATGTATGTACAGCAATGAAGCATACCATGCATAGCTAGCAGACGAGACAAATGGAGAGGAAGACATGTTAATACACATACACAATTAACCAGTATATCAACATATAATACAATCAACAAATACTTGAAACGATCTGTCATGTACTTGGCTCGGCATATGGGACACAAGCAAGTATTTCTTTGTACACAATATTCTTGGTTTCATCTGTACAATTTCCATTTTCGTCCTCTATCAGAATTTTTAGCCCCTTTTTCGAAGTTACACGTGAAAGAGCCACATAGAGCTGCCCATGTGTGAAAACCGGTTTTTTAAGATAGATGCCAACGTAAGAAGCGTCTGCCCTTGGCTCTTGTTACTGGTCATAGCATAACATACTTTAATTGGGAACTGCCGTCTATGGAGAACAAATGGCCATTTTTTATTTTTTAGTGTTAGAGAAATCCGAGGGACAAGGACGGTCTGACCAGCGTGGGTAGACACACAACACAGACACATATACAAACACAGCACAAGAAGAAGAAATAATGCACAGAACACAAAACATCAAGTCACCTTGGATATTTCGTAAGGCTAGAGCAGCACAAGGACGAAGGAGTAGGATGGAATCCGCACAATGCACCTGTAACACATGAACCAATATGAAGAGACCTAGAAATCAAAGGAGACCGCAAAACTAAACAGCACACATGTACCTGGATATCATTAATAAACACATCACACGTGACAAAAACGAAAGACATGTGCGGACAACATACACGAAAAAAACGGACACAACCAGTTGACACATACCGTAAGCTCATAGGAAATAGCTGGCCAAGCAGCTAACCCTACGAAGAGAATCAGGAAAACATGTAAGCAAAATGTAAGCATTCTGATGGCTGCCGTGCACTGAAATGAAGAATGTTGAACCTCTAATTTTTTCGTAAGAACCACACAAATGCAAGGACATTCTTCGTAAGAACCACACAAATGTAAGGAGACAGCAAACATGGCATTTGAACCTGCAAACAAAGTAAACTAACTTATCGACTGTCAGAGCAAGCTAAGGTCCCTCCATAGCGCATCTGCAACAAGCACCTACATAGTAGATCCGGAGCAACGCAACGGAAGGCAAGAAACCTTCAAACAAAGTGAAGTATTAGTACACACAGCAGAGGGGAAATCAAATAAGAAAACAAAAGAAAGCGAAATAGGAACAAAGAAATCGACGACAGAGACGGGGAAAAACCCTGTGGAAAGCACATCGTCATGAAATGCAACTCCCAAACCATACCAAAAGAGCACAGGAGGGGAAGAAAAGAGACGTGTCGGGAAGCATGGAAAAGGAAGCAGGAGCAACAAGGGCCATAGCGCAGCAGGAGGAACAGGGCAGAGGCAGTCGAACTGTAGCGTGGAAACGGTAGGCGCAAGAAATACGCGGACACTGCAGCCAAGAAACACGGCAATGAAGCACGGGCGGCGGAATCGGCCAAGACGGCCAGGGCAGAGGCGCCCAGAACAGGGCAGATCCCCCACTGCAGCACGCAAAACCTAGGCGGAAACAATACATGAAGACCGCCGCCAAGAACGAGGGCAACGAAGAACGCACGACGTAGGGCGGCCATAGGAGCACCGGCCAGGAGGAACAATGGCCCAGGAAAAGCGCAAAGGCAAGGAAGAGAGAAGGGCAGGAGGAAACGAAGGCACAGGCAGAACAAATCGGTAAGGCAGAAACCAAATCGGAAAGCAAAATCACGGAGGAGAAAAGGAGAGGGAGCAAACCCAGGACAACGTAGGAGCACGGGACCCACGGAGGCGTCAACGATGGCGACGGCGGAGAGCACGGAGCGGACGAGGACGACACAAACGTGGAAAGGGAGATGGAGAGACCAAGGGAACAAGCTGTGGGGGCAGTGGGATGGGAACTAGGAACAACGAAGGTAGGCCAACGGGAGCGGGCATGTGTGCACAGTAGATGGACCGGCCCTCAGCCGTCCAAACAGAAATCAAACGGATCAAATTAACTTTGCTACCATAGATGCCTTGAACGCTGGCCAAAGTAACCTGCTTTAATAAGAGTAGATAGGGACGTATGGTGTTGATGGCTTTCTTCGGCCCCAAAGAAATTGGAGAGGTTGGAGGCAGTCTGACGGTGTATATATGCGCCGTGCCCGTGCGGCCATGCCGAGACGGGCAACACCAAATCGGGGAGCAGTAACCAGGTCCAGGAGCAAGTGAGCAACAGACCACCAGGCCAGACACCTCGGGCCTCCACTCGATGGCTATCAACCCACCCACCGGCAGGGGTCCGGCTCCATGCACGCTGCCGACACAGCTCGCGGCAACGATCCAAGGAGAGCGAGCTGCGCAAGTACACTGGCCGGCCGTGTGCCAAGAACCGATGGAGCAGGCAGGCAAAGGCATGCCTGCAAAAATCGCCGGAAACAGGGGACTCGCCACTGGAGTCGCTAGTACTATGATGGCCACGGTGATTGGGAAAATGTGGCTGCTGGCGCCAACGTGGTCTGCGGTCATGTGGAAGGCGAGGCCGCTACGTGCCCGCCTCCTCCTCACAAAGCCCTAGGCCCCTCGCGACCGTGCCGTCCCTCTCGCTGCCCCCGCCTCCTCCGTTCTCATCCACGCCAATCTCCTCCGTCCTCATACACATCACAAGAGCGCGCACACGATGCGTTGCATGGCATGGCTCCACACACCCGTAGCAAGCAACCGTTATACCCACCCACCGCTGCATAAGTATCTCCGCCGGCTGCTCCGTGCGATCCAGGCCCGGCCGCGTGCGTGCGACGACTGCACCATCGATCCACATATACGCTCTGGCTAGCTTGCACTCCGAGCGCGCGCGGCGCGGCCCCCGCGCCCGTCGTGTCGATCGTACGTGCAGCAAACTAGCTAGCTGCAGACTGCTGCATCAGTGCGTGACGACGTGAGGATATATCAGCCACGCACCGCACGCGATCGTGAGGACGGAGATGAACCAGTGCGTGCCGAGCTGGGATCTGGACGACCCAGCGGTGGTAGCTGGCGGCGGAGGCGGCCTAAACCACCATCAGGTCTCGACGACGACCGCCGGCGGGGCGCACCGGGGCCTGGAGGTGTCAGCTGCTGGGGCCGCCGGCGGGGCGTTCGCTCCCTTTGTCGTGCCCATGTCGGACCAGTACTACGAGGTGGCGGAGCTGACGTGGGAGAAGGGCAACATCTCCTCTCACGGGCTGGGGCTGCTTAACCGCCCGGTGCAGCACAAGTACCCGCCCGCCGCGCCGCCGCCGTCGCAGCTGCAGGCCATAGGAGCCGGCGGCGGCGGATCGTCTGGGGACCGCGAGACGCTGGAGGCGGTGGTCGGCGAGGCGGCCGCGCGGTCACACTTCCTCTCCTCGCAGCCGGTGCAGCACCCGGCGCCTTGGGTCGGGGTGGGCGGCGCCGTCGTCGACGCCGTGCAGGCGCGGTCCGCGGCGGACGCGCTAGTGCCGTGCGCTGCAAGGGTGCAGGACGAGGCGGCGGCAGAGGGAGGAGGAGACGCGGGCGCCTCGAGGAGGAAGCGGGCACGCGTGGTTGGCGAGGACGGCGGTCTGGTGTGCGCCAGCCAGGGGAGCACCGCCGCCACGCCCGCCGGCCGCCGCGGCGAGAGCAGCGCGCTGCTCACGCTGGACGCCTGCTGCGGCACCGGCGGGGCCGATGACGTGTGCGGCTTCACAACGACGACCACCAACAACTCCACGTCCCTGGAGCGCGACGACAAGGGCTCTCCGGACACTGAGAACACCAGCATCGGTGGAGGGGCCAGTGATTCTCGCTGTTTCAGCCGTCGGTCACAGGCAAGCTCATCATATTTATACGTATACACACCTCTAGGCTCGAGCTAGCTAGCTTCATGCACTTCACATCTGAATTTAATTTCTGAATTGCTCGATGCTAAGCTGCGGATGCTACATGCTACATGCATGCAGGGTTTGTGTTCTTTCTATTTCCATTACAATAAGCTTATTTTTGTATTGATTTGCATATTATGTTCATTAATATATGCTTTATTTGTCTATATGTGTCCGTACATGCATGTTTGGCAAAATGATTAAAGAGAGACGGTTTGTGCGACGAAGGGGAGAACGTGGTGATCAACGGGGACGGGGCGATGAGGTCGTCGATTTCCACCAAGAGGAGCCGGGCTGCTGCGATCCATAACGAATCTGAGCGTGTAAGATCCCTTTTTTTTCTGCAGTCGTACGCGAACTTGGATAAGTTAGTTGCAGGTGAAATAAAATGCATGGTCCAGCATTATGGCACGTACACACTTCTGTAGTTTCTTGTCGACAGCGCTCACCTTTCTGATTATTGCAAAATCATGGGTCATGCCCGTGTTTAGTTGGGTGAAGTTTGGAATTTGGGCAACTGTAGCATTTTGTTTTTATTTATCAATTAGTGTTCAATCATGGACTAATTAGGCTCAAACGTTTGTCTCGCAATTTTCCACCAAACTGTGCAATTAGTTTTTTTTTCATCTACATTTAATGCTCCATGCACGTATCGCAAGATCCGATGTGATGGATAATGTAGCACTTTTGGGGAATTTGAAGGGGAACTAAACACGGGCCATATGTCAAACAATTCTACGTATCACTTTTAGTAACCACTTAATATTGGGTAAGATTTGTTTGCTCCAACAACACACACTTAAGGCTAGCAGCTTGTTCCGTGGACAGGGGATTTACGATGTGTTTGGCTTAGTTCCCAGGCTAGCCAAGCCAAAATTTTGATTACTTTGACAAATTTTAGTCATAATTTAGTTGATGCTAAAATTTGGCTTGACGTCCTCCTCCTTTGGCACCTTAATTTATTTTGGTGGCCAAAGTTGACCACATCCATGTCCACCAAATTTGGTGACTAAAATTTAGCCATACTAATTTTTGGTTTGGTTAGGAGGTGCAAGCCTTTTGAGGTGATTAGTTTGAGAAATTGGGTGGTCCGTCAATTTATCGCTCACTCCTCACCTTTTTTTAGTTTGTGAAATGGAATAGTTTGATCCATCGTTACCTTATTCCGTATAACAAACTAAAATTTAGTATAAATAAGCATGAGGAATGGATCATTCCACCGAAATTCATAAGATAAAACTCATGATAGGAGGGGCACCTCTCAAATAAAACATCAGTTTAGAGTTTTAATCGACAAAGCCCCATTTCTACATATTTCCGCTGAAACAAAATGTCAATTCTTCTTTCTTTTGTTGTCTAAGTGCACATGCAAATGACTTTATGGTTATTGATAGTTTTTTTATATATATATAGTAAAGATGTACTCTCTTCATTCTAAATTATAAGATGTTTTAGCTTTCTAGATATATACATTGCTTTACTATATGTAGACCTAGCGTATATATAAGAAAATAGCAAAATCCATATATCTAAAAAGTAAAAACTTCTTATAATTTGGAATGGATGGAGTAAACCTTATGTATGCGCATGCACACTCACTAGTTCTACGAGTACACACACATCCTACCTTTATGACCACATATGAGAGAGTAGCTATCGGCATGTCACATCACTTATATCGCTAAAATATATAATCTTTTGCTGAAAATACGGAACCGAACTGAGTTAAGCTTAGATATCATAAAAAATGGTCTCTAAAACTCTTCACCCAATAATCTCGGTTATTATCATATGTTTACTCAACAAGGTAGCCTAAGACTAAGGTATTCCGAGAAAATCTTGAAACGTCATTTCCGTATTGTGCAACTACATATAGAATCAGATTCCGACAAATGGTTTTTCTTTTTTGCGAAAAATGATCCTGATAGAAGTTGATTGCACGTTGCCAACATCATCCTATTTTTTTTCACGCGGCAGGGAGTAATAACTATACGTGATGTAGCTAGGAACGTTTCGAATATGTCTTTGGGACAGAAGGAACCAACATGTGTTCGTGTTTCTTTACTGTTGTTACCATTTTGGCTTTATACCCTACTGTACCTCACAATCATGTTTTTGCTATGTAGGATAAGTTCCACATAGCTATCACACTGTTTGAAAAAATATCTTTTGTGACCTAGTGGTAAAAAAAAACGAATCGTCAAGGTTTCGAAGCTTCCCAGCGTGATAGTGACTGTTGACTGCGGACTCGAAATAAGATGCAATACGCCTTAGCAGTGCAGTTTCATTTGACATGCCGCACTTTTTGCCAGTTCCTTCAGAGCCTTTTGTTCTCCTTTAATAAATTCCTTGAGAACCTTGTGCTGTTGGTTCTTGAGAATGAAAGGACGCTCCAACTTTCTTTCAGCTTGGCATATGGCTTATATTTGGGCCTATACAGGCCGAAACCAATGCAGCAGTATGTCTTTAGTTGGGCCAACCTTTTGCCTCTTATATCTTGTGTGTTTTGTTTCAGAAACGAAGGGACAGGATCAACCAGAAGATGAAAACGCTGCAAAAGCTCGTCCCGAACTCGAACAAGGTGAGACGTACGATCGCGACTCATCTGCCGGAACCAGTATATGACGATGATCTGTAATAAGCGGAAATCCGACACGTTGCTGCGTTTGTTGCCGTGCCCTGAATGAAAGCAGACAGACAAGGCGTCGATGCTGGACGAGGTGATCGACTACCTGAAGCAGCTGCAGGCGCAGGTGCAGGTGATGAGCCGGATGAGCAGCATGATGATGCCCATGGGCATGGCCATGCCGCAGCTCCACCAGATGTCCGTGATGGCCCAGATGGCGCAGATGGCCCAGATGGCACAGATGGCCCAGGGCATGATGAACATGGGCTCCCTCGCCCAGCCGGGCTACGCAGGCCTCACGCCGCCCATGATGCACCCGCCGCCCCCCTTCGTCCCCATGTCCTGGGACCCTGCCGCCGCTGCAGCCGCCACCGCCGGCCCCGGTCCAGCAGCCGCCGCCACCTCCCTCGCCCAGCAGCCCGGCGGCGGCGCCGTGCCGGACGCCTTCTCCGCCTTCCTGGCCTGCCAAGCGCAGCAGAACGGACAGGTACGTATGTGCAAACCGTATCTACCTAACCTACGTGCAAACGATATGATGTCGATCTCTGCTGACCGGCACGAATGCATGTATATATGCAGCAGCAACCGGGTAGCATGGAGGCGTACAATAGGATGGTGGCGCTGTACCAGAAGATGAACCAGCTGCAGCAGGGCGAGCCCAGCGGCAACCCGTCCAAGCAGTGAGCATGACGTACGTACGTAGAGCTGTTTTCTTGTACATTGTTTGTTTGCTCGAAACCGTCGTGTTCTTGCTCCTTTTATCGCATTTGTTCAGATTTTTTCTTCTTCTCGACTGATGAGCCCGGAGTCGTGTAATATAATAGAGGTGAAATCTGTCGACGCGGTACCTGTAGCATCATGTATTTATTTTGTTTTTGATGACCGGTCTAGCCTTGTATAAGTGACCACACGTTGTGCAAGAGTTGAGCGGGTTTTGCACTGGTAGTGGTAGTCGAACAAGTGATGAAGGCGATGCCAGGTAGCAGTATGTACAGTACTAAAGACTTCAATGAGTGTAGATTAGAGAAATCAACCCACGAACGACTCAAGACCATTATCTGGTAGCTTAACTTGTCAACCATTTGTCCTATCAGATATTTTCTCCGTGTCCAGCTCTTTTTGTTCGGTGATCCAGCACTGTGGCTGCCAGAGGGTAGAGGCTGACCGAGAAAGTGATGATTTTGGTGGTGTTTAAATCCGGAGAGTAAAGTTTATGATGTTATATCGGGTGTCACATGGGAGCATTCGGATAGTAATAATAAAACAAATTACGAATTTATTAAGCCTAATTAATTCATCATTAACACATATTTATTGTAGTACCATATGTCAAATTATGAATTAATTAGATTTAAAATTTTCGTCTTACAAATTACTCGTAATTTGTATAATTAATTATTTTTAATATATATTTAATACTATATATATATATATATAAATATTTGATGTGATATGGAGTAAACTTTAGAGGAGCAAAGCCTTTGTTTTGGAGGGGGCTCGGTGGATAGAGTTGCTGGGCCGTCAATCAGAGACGCGCACTCAGGCTCAGGCGAGCTCGGCCCGGAAACGGAGCATGGCGTCGCGATGGATTCGCCGGACACATGGCCACCGGCAATAGGCTGCATCACGACATGGAAAGAGACGGTAGCAGGCAGCCGTACTGGCTAGTCGACGCCGGGTACAGGACGCTGCTGCAGCCTTTTGACTCTATCGGGCTTGGCACCGACCGCATCGGGCATGTCCATGTAGGCGCACATGCCGCGGACCGCGGGGAAACAGCTCAATCCAAGGCGGATAAAGAAAAGGCGAAGGCGAGGGAGAAAAGGTGCGTCCCAAACAAAACAAAAAAAGCCGGATGTCCATGTGTCGTAGTAAAAATAGATGGTTGAAAATCTAAACTATCTGTCTACTAGAAATTTATAACATAGTAACGAAATGAAATGACAAAAAAAATAGAAACCAAAACTAGGACAACATGAAAAGACCAAAGTATCGTTACCTTATCTCTTTCTTTCAGACTTTCATTGAGCCGTTTTCTCCCATTCACGTAGCCTCGATCCAAAATCCTCCTTGATTAACTACTCTGATACACTAAATAACTTTTAATTAAATTTCTTTGAGATCCTAATTTAAACTCTACCAACTCCAACAACTCTTTATTAACTTGCTTAGGAGTAATTACTAGGTATGTATGAAAACTATGGCCCTCTTGATCAAGTTACTGATCCTAGTGTCGGGTATAGTTATTAGGGATACTAAAAGCAAGGATGTTAGCGCTCACGCTGACTCTTCCGGATGGCTCGAGACGTATTAAAAGGTCTCGAGCGACCCTAAGGCCGCGGGCTCCGTCTCGCCCAAGGTCATGGGTTCCGTCTCGCCCAACCCCTCCGGTGCGGGCTCCGTCTCGCCCAACCCCTTGGGCTCGTGCTCCGTCTCACTTGACCCCTCGGGTGCGGGCCCCATCTCGCCCGACCCCAAGGCCAAGGGCCCGGTCTCGCCCGACCCTAAGGTCGCGGGCTCCGTCTCGCCCGACCTCTTGGGTTCGTGCTCCGTGTCGCCTGGCCCCAAGGACGTGGGTTCCGTCTCGTCCGACGGGGACCCATACCGCCGCCAACCACTCCAGGTCCAAGCGTATGGGCCTCAGTCAAAACTCTGACACCAGAAAAGAGGCTGGCACGTCTCGATGTAACCTGTGGCCATGACATACCTGACGATTCACATCAAGAACAGTGTCGGGCGTGTCGGTACTGTTCTGCCTAATCCTCATACGGACGCTGACAACCGCATCAGTTCACCACGACATCCACCGGTGTAGCAGAACCGACCAATTTATAAAAGCACAAGTACAATGATAGCCCGTAAGCGGTCGCTCTGTCATACTTGAGCCTATATAAACCCGGTAGTCCATCAAGTACCACGAAGGGTCTCGATTAACCATCAACGTACAACCAAGATCGTACATGATTCAACATACATGTCACACGTTATATAAAGTTCACAAATACAGTTCATTCATCATTGTACGAATTAAGGTTATTACAAACCGAGTTTAAGGAAAATAGTAGCAAAAGTAAATTAAAGTTTGAAACTAACATCTGCCATCATTGTTTAAACATAGTGCCAGCCCACGATCACACTCCCACAAAAACATATAAGAAGGATTAATAAGAGATGCCTGCCCAGGGCTCATTCATCGTCCACGACGGGGCAGAAGCAGTTCTTGAAATAGCTATGATAATTGTACCATCTGCAACAATGGGAATAAAACCTTGAGTATGAGAAAGTACTCAGCTAGACTTCCCGTCATAAACCAAAAATAAGGTGACTCCAAGAATCATGCAAGGCTTTATAAGTGGAGGTAGCTTGATAACATTTTATATAAAAAACGATTAATTCAGTTGTATACTTATAATTCGGTCATCAAGTTAATTATAGTTATTCATCTCTAGATTAGCAACTAGCCTGTGCCAAACATGTGGTATATCATTTAGTAACATACAATAGTAACCATAGCCGGTATAGTAATTTTATGTTCATCCGAACCATCATATTCCATAACACAGTTACTACGTTGTTGGGATTAGCCAAGTTTCTCACTGTCCGGGAGAGACGGCGATTCGAATCGATTTTAACCAGCTGAGAATTTATTTCTAACACAAACCTAGGCAGACTAGATCAACGGTCACCTTAGGTCACCTTTGGTACCACTCAGGTACACATTTCGCGGGTTCATCCAGCGTCGCACAATCAGGGACAACCAGCTACCAGGACGATCAGGACTACCCTGCCCTTGGGCTCACGTCTAGCTCTTCGCACATCCTTACTACCATCCAGAGTGCGCACTTTTATAGAACGGGGCCCGACCTGAGTTGAGCTACTCAGCTTCACGGTCAGAACAAGTTATATGGCCAGATAAGTGAGAGGCATGCGTTCAATCTTATCAGAAATGCCAACAATAGTACAGTGCTTAACCGGCACAGACGGAATCACATGAGTCAACCTACACATAGACTCTGCCCGGCCTCCATTTCCATTTCCCCATGGTTCTTTTCCACGATAGCAAATATAGTCAACCGTACTTCAGTATCCACCTATATCTCGCAGGTGATAGAAAATCACCCGACTTCTACCGGTCTAAGCATGGCTAAGCATATATTCGATCCTGAACTTACACAGGGTTAAAGGTATATGTAACTGGACAAGGTAGTTCTATACATCAAGTATTTTCAATCAACTCTTATAACCTAATGCATCAAACATAAATGACTCAAATGATATTTTGTAAAACATGGGAGACTTAGAATGCTCCAAAACTTGCCTTTGAAAAAAGAGGTTGGCCGGTGATTCGGGCACTCAGGGAGGTCCTCGAGAGTTTGTTCCTCTTCTTCTGGAGCTACGGCCTGAGGCGTCTCCTAATCCTCCTCTTCTTCCTCATTGAACTCTAAAAGAGTTATCTCTTCGGTAGATCCTATATGCATGAGCATAAAATAAGATATCACGAATGCATATATGATGACATGTATAATATGATATGATGTGATGAATGCATCCTCATAAGTGTTTTCAACAGCATTGCATTAAAGTGATAATAATTGCATCTTATTTTACTGAGTAGGTGCATATCTCTTCTCTCGTAATTTAAGCAAACACTTATGTAAATTATTTTCTGGACTACAAGACAGCATCCACTTGTTTTGACCATAACTGGAGTTATACACATCAAAATACTATGGTTGTAAACATTCTGGAATGATTATAAAATTGCCTACAACTTTCTTTTAATCCTCTTAATGTGATTCAGCAGTTATCTAAGTCAAACAATTCAATCTTTCATATCTATCCAGAGAGCAAGCATTTCTGACAGCAGACTTCTAACAGCTATAATTCTTAAACCACAAGGCCTATGACTATGAAAATTTAACACAAGGTAGATAAGTAAGTTATCTACAACTTTGTTAGTAATAAGTTTTACAAAAAAGACAATTATCATCACGAAATTTCCATCACAATCGAAACTATACATACAGCCATCTAGTTGAATTATAAAGCAATAATTAACTAGTTGCATACAACCAATTACTTCTAAGCCTAACTAATAACATCAACAGATCATATGCATCACAAGAACCATAGAAAACATCATGGTTAAATATAACTAATTTATTTATATCCATTTATTAATTTCCTTAGATAATAAGGTGATTTGAAGGATAAATATTTTTAGTGCTTAATAAATTCTAAGAAATTACAGTATGCTACAACTGACCTCAATAGTCTACTATACAAATTTCATTTCATTTGAATAAGTATATCCACCTCTACAAAAATAACAAATTACATAGGCTTATTTTAGCAAAAATAGGTTGGCATAGTAAAAAGTGCCAAACAATAGATTTAATATTTTTCTTACATTCCTCCAATCATAAGAATACTGTGTAAAAATTTACATGATCATATGTTATGTATTTTTACCCTAATTAATTTCACTAGAAACTAGCAATTAATTAGGATTAAATATGAAGATCATATTTCAAGTATGCTTACTGTAGGTTTAGTATTTTTTCTAGCTAGAGCATGTCAACACAAGACCAGCCAAATTGGAATCACAATTTTATCACCTTCCTAGCTCAAGATATGCAATTTACAATATATAAACTACTTTAAAGGCACTTATCCTGTTCAAT